TGCATTGAACTTTTCGTATATAACATTTCAAGTTGGAGGATTTGTATATCGCCTTGCGTGGTTCCATATAGTATACACACTTAGACATTTTCGGGTAGACTAATAGAGAAAGTGACGCAGCAATCTGAAAAAACGTGGATACCGTACAGAATGACACAACTCCCCTTCTCCCCCCCCCCCCCCCCCCCCCCTATTTTTTAGATATCTAAACAAAAACACGAACTTCTATTTTTACCGTTAATCTCACATAAGAATTACCTGAGCATGCGTGTTGTTCAGTTGTAACTTACTGCCCGGTGAAAATCGCTGTCCTTCGCTTCGGTGGTTGCGTCTCAGACGTTGTTTGTTGCGCTGTCCCCTAAACCTCCTGATCATTTCAGTACCTCATATGCCCCCATTTCGCAAGTTTATTCATTACGCTGAAACGTCATTCGGGGACCCTCGATATCTTGCGGCAAACTTCGTTAAGCCTCGCCGACAGCCTTCATCGGGATTAGCTCGCGGAGTTGACGGCCCCTGTCGCCATCTCAATATCGCCTCGCCTTTCTTTTGCAGAAGGGGCTTAAGCACAACTGCTTTCGACATTGTATCGAACCAGGAATGCTCCCATTAAACGACCGGAAACATCCCAACGGCGTCGTAAAAACGTGTGATGAAATACGCGATCACAATCAGGAGGACCGAGGGTCATGCCACAATGTACATCTTACAGACGTAGCTCACTCTATGGTCTTGCTGGTTTTAATAGGCAAAACGTCTGAGTATACTTCGGAATGGCTTAACGTAGGGGTCAGGACAACGAAATAAGAAACACAGGGACCCGTTTATGGCTTTTCTTCTCTTCTTTATACGACAATGGAGCAAATCTTTCGCAGTTACGGCCATTTCGGTACAAAGAAAGATAACCACTGACACGGCAACACTCTGCCAGATTAGACTGAGCGTTTGGTGTGCTTTAGATCGGATAGGTTTGGTCACTGGCGGAGATACAGTATACAGCTTGCCTAACCGAGTTTTATTGGTTGCTCCCGACGCGGTGATGACACAACCCGATATGGTTCATCGAGAAGTGGCATGACCAAGCAAAACATTGAGGCAGCATTATCTCGGAGCAATCTACTCTTCACCGACATGACGCAAGCGCTTCAGTAGCAGTGATTTGTCCAGATTAGAATAATGGAGCACATCAACTAAGTGGGTTTTATTTTTCTTTGTGCGATATTAAATGCTATAGCATTTCTTTCGGAACCACATGAAGTGCTTGGTCATGAGAGGGCATGTTGCGAACCCCAAAATGCGGTCCAGGTCAGGTTAACAATCTCTGGCTTGAAGAGTAAACAGTGAACGCCCACTTCCCTTTCTCGCAGAAGATGGTGAGAGTTACCAGCACAACAACAAAATCCCATCCTGTTTGCGTGTCCCCGGACAATAATGCAGACATTGATGACGTAATGCACACACACTCACACACGCCACAATTCACGTTCTCTCCTTTTACACACCCCAACTACGGCCAGTTACACGCGTTCTCCTCGGGCCTTTCTTTGATGCCGGCCTCTGCTGCGAGCACACGCACATAAAATAGGAGCCACCGTGGCGGACTGACATGGCTCCATAAACAAGGCTCGTTTCGGAGGCTTTCTGATTGAGACCGCGCCGTACTTTACGGTCCTGTTTCCGTAGACTGCCACAGAGGCAGTGTGGTGGAGCGGTGCTTGCACCCGCGGGAGGAGAAATGGCGCACCGGAACGACTTTCGGGACAATGGCGTCTTCGTGAGGACCCTATACTCTTGCCTAGTCAGCCGTATGGGTACCCCGCACTCCTACAGCTGCAGAGACTCTTCACCACGTGACGGAAGGATGGGGGCAGGTTGGGGGGACGGAGCTACGGTTTCTTCAATGGACCGTTGGGTAAGGAGACCTCCTTGGAGGTAAGGGGAGGGGGGGGGGGGGGGGTGCGTTTTTATTTGATAGAGCTTACTGCTATCAATCATCGCATTAACGCTTTGAACGCGTGTCTCATGTTGGTTTTTATTTTTGTTTTTCTGGGGGGGGGGGGGGGGGGGGGTATCAGGAGGCGACACTTTTCAAAAGAGGCGTCTGCACGTCACCTGGAGGACACCTCTCGCTAAAATATAGGGCAGGCTCGCTATGAACCGTTGTTGCAGATGTCTAATGATGGCGTGATGAAAACGTTTCTATCTGACACCTTCTGAAGTGCAAAGGACTTGCAGATCACCAGTGTATCAAACACACATCTTAACTCGGGGCCGCTGTAAGAGAAGTATCCTGCCTGCCGACAAGAAATCATGTCTTCACGTTGAGAAAAAACGGACGTCCAGATGCCTGAACATTGTGTCAACTGATTTCACTTCGAAGGAAATAGAGAACTTAAACTTTCTGTTGACGATTTTTCGTCCAACACCTTCTAGAATAATCAAAGCCCGTGAGTAAGCGCTTAGACGCCATGACAGTGGAATCGAACGCACACGCTGCGCTGCGTCTGCGGTCAACTGGGCCTCTTGTCCAGTCAATGTGTCAAATGACGTTCGGGTTCGGGGTCAATACGTGACTAAATTACATTAAGGACAATGCTTGGGAACGTATGTACACGCTCTGCACGCGCTCGCCTTCCCTCTACAAAAAGATTCGAAGTGAATAACAAAAATAAAGCGTTTGTGGAATGCGCGTGCAAAGTGCCATTTGTTTTAGATTTCTGCTTTCGAACAGTTGTACTCCGTTTCAGTTCATGCGCGAACGAGGCCGAAGCTACAAACGCGATCATCTTGCCCCGAACCATAGCTTCCTCTGTATCTGACAAAGCCTGGCAGATCTCCACGAGACGCGGCCTCCGAAATTGAAAAGGTGGAGCGGCAGACTACGGATGAGAGAAGGAGCCTAGAAGAGCCCGAAGAGCCACGTGACGGGCGCCCCGCTGCGGCGAGACGCCGAAACACGCTTCTCCCGAGCGATGGAATGACCGCTCCAGCTCCTCGCGTTCCCTCGCGCTACCGCTTCTTTTCTCGTCGGGTTTGAAAACTATGTTTCGGGTCCTCGCCGCTGCAAAAGCTGCGCGCTGACGTCCAGGTTCCCCGAAAAGTGGTCTTTGCTACCAGATCCTCGCGATCCAAATCTGCGACCGGGCACTCCATGGCTCTGTCGTTGAACTGCCAGGCTTTGTGAGTATAAAGGAGGCTGTGCGCGAACGAGGCTTGCAGACTGCATGCAGGATCACGCGTGCTAAACCGGGAGACTGAAAGCCCGGAGCTCGCTCTCGTAGCTTCTGCCACACGAATGGCGTGACAGCAGCGACATCGGTACCGAAGAACAACACCGATATTGGTCCTTGCCTTTCATCTTCACAACGCAATGAATGAACGACGTGATTCGACACATCTTGGTTTTCTCCGTGATATCCCCCAGCATCGTGTCCAAGCACCCAGAGCCAACGTTCGGCTGCCGTGCTTTTTCAGAGTCGCTTTCCCCTCACATGCGCTTTAATCCGGGAAAATTTATTAATTTTTTTAAAAGAAAAATCCTCGACGCGTGCCATAGCCTGACAGCAGCGATGACTGTGAGCTCGCTCCTATCTGACTGCTTCCTGAATCCCATCTGTGTAGCCGCATGCCATGCAGGCTCGCACAATAAACTGCGTCGCGATTTTTTTTTTCTTTTTTCACCCAACGCCTACTTTATACATGATTTGCGTTGTTGTTGTTGTTTCACGGCATACGCATAGATGATACGTGCGCGAGCAGGATGACGGTGCTTCCATGAGTATGCGCTCCTGCATCCCGCAGGAACGACTGACAGAAATTCGGTATAGACTTCTGGTGGCTCTCGAAGCACCGTTCCTTCGCGAAGCCGGCGTTCATGCGTTCCTTGGCAGAAATTCACACCCCGCTGACTATAGACCGCTATAATAGCCCTGATCGTGCGCAGAAGTTCCCTTCTTATCAATATCAGAAGCTGCGCGTGCGGCCACCGCCCAGTGACTCGAATTCTTTTTGCCGGGGTGATAAGCGCTAGAGGTATGTTTTAAGATGGTGAACTTCACCTTGTCTGCCACGATTTTGAAAAGCTGGTTTTAGCCCTGGACGGGATGAACAATCTGGCGTTTTAAAAACACGAGTCCGCCTTCCTGTACATAAAATGTGCGTGTAAAATGTATTGCGTATATCATAAACACACTTTTAGTAAGAAAAACAAAAAAGAAAAACCTTAGCATTAATTCGGATCGGTTTACTTTTGGCTCCCAAGCCTTCCGATGCCTCCGTCTAAAGTACCACAGCCACACGCGCAGTCTTCCAGAAGGAGCCAACGCTGCTTCCGCGCACAGCGACCGATTTTTCCGATCCTCCTCCATCCCCACGGCCAATACCGGCTTCCTGTGCCTCGGAAACGCGGTCTGTCACAGCGACGTCGTCGCGCCGGGCAGCAGGCAAGCCTGCCGCCACTACCTGTGCTGCTTCTTCGAGCAGCGAGCTGCAGCGCGGCAAAGCTCGGAACACAGCTGTCGCCGAGGCCGAACGGCCCGAACTGCTGCCTCGCTGGCGTTCCCCCCCACCACTCTATCGCTTCACTTTTTATGTCGTCCTCGCCCTCTTACGCACAGCCCCCTCCTCTCCCCCGGGCTTTTTCGTTTTGCGGCAGTCGACGCCAGTTGGAGCTTGCCAGTGGTAACGCGTGGACGTGCGTTTTGCGGTGGCTCTCTCAAGAGACCGGTCTTCTGCCTGCGGGAGCGCGTGTGGTGCGTTTTTTTTTTTGGCGAGCGAGCGTGCGTGTTCGCGTGGTGCGGCGGGTGCGTACCGCCCCTACACTGTAGTAGATGCGTCGCGCGGCTTGGTCCGCGCAGTTCCTCCGATTGGACGTGGCCGCTCTGGATTGGGCATCGCCTGCAACGCCGCGCCAATTTGAAGACTTGTTAAGGACGCTGTCCTTGAAAATTGAGTAAGGACAGGAGGCAGTATTTTTTTTTTTTTGGTTTATACTTTTACCTTTTTTAATCTGCGTCTGTTGCGAAGCCAGACGGATGTCGCTGCCGAAGACTTCAAGAAGAACCACCGCGGGATCAAGGTGAAGAAGACCCGCTGAAGCACCTCCTGAAGGACGTGCCTTGGAATGTGGCTGCCGGTGCGGTCTTGTAGCGGGACGCTGACGCCGTCATTCTCTTCAATGGCAGTTGGATAAGACTGTAGAAAAACAAACACGGATTTGAGGGGGATTACACCGGCACGGATTAGCGACTGTGTGCGTCTGTGTGGTGCGTGTGGGGGAGGGGTGGTCTCGCCGGAATGCCGATACCCGAGTGCCTGGACTCGTCCTAGTGCCCGTGCTCGGTAGGATGTGGCTACGCTTCAAGCTCCTTGCCCTGGTCACCCACGTCTTGAGACTCTGTTTTGGTAAGCTGAATGACTTGCGTCCCGCTTTTTATCTTGCCCAATTCGTACATCAAATGAAGGGGGCGGGGGTGCATCTCTGCCTTGGTACCAGGTGGGTGGGTGGGTGAGGATTCTTGTCATCGAAAGTGATGGCAGTCATCACCTTTCATGATTAATGCGATGTAGAATCCAACTTGGATAATCTTGGGGCACGTTCTTCGGAAGTGTTGACAATGATGTCATTTCGGCGGCTTTTTGCCTTTCAAGTACTCGATATTTTTTCTGACATATGACGTTCGAGTTTGGGTTGACCATGGCCTTTAGCTATGGCAGGGTTTTTAAGCTGCTATACGTTTCTCATTGTAAATCACGGAAAGTACTTAAGTTACCATGAACACTTACAAACCTGACAAACTTGTTTATTCTCTTGACTTAATTCCAGAAGGTTCCATGAATATGGCACCTATCTGTACTAGAGGTCCTAATCTAGCGGATCGCACGTGGATAACACCGTGTGTTACGCAACGCCTATCTAACGGCTTCCTTCGAAGATGATACGAGACCGCTGAAGGCAGTTCGAATATAAATGCCGAGTACATTTTGCCAACGGCAATCCACCGAAGTCTGATAGAATGTGATTTCTCTGAGGCCTTGATCATACATTATGCAGTGTGTATAAACCATATGACCCGCGTTGCCGGTTCCAGGTTCTCGGGAGTCGACGGTGGAAATTATGCGGTTGAGTAGAGTCTGTGAGCCGCTCCCTCGGAAGCGAAGAAGTATCTGTAAACTAAGCCGTGACGTCGTCGAAGGGTCCTAAGAGCCCCTGTGAGCAACGACCCGAATTCTCTGGAGCCATTACACGTAAATGCCGCGTATTTAGTTTGTTACGACTGTAATTTATCTTTGGTGTGTAATTTACTCTCCGCTAAGATTTGTTTTCTTCGTGGATTTGTTCTTACGCGCAGCTTGTTTAACAGTTAGGGTCCAGCCAGATTCCAACTGGCCATACAACAAACAAAACCATGTCTGATTTTTTTCCCCGCTGTCCTGATAGCCTGTGCAACATGGGAAGTTGTGTTGGGCTTATTTACAACCTCTCTCGCAAGGCGAGAGTTCATTTGGTTCAAGGGCACACATATCCTTCCGCTTTTTTTTTTTTTTTTTTTTTTTTTTTAGGATGGTTGGCTGCAGTTTTTGATTTGTTTAAGCGAATCTTAATTTTGCAGCCCCACTTCGGGCATGTCGATCCACTTTCCGGAACTGTGGTCGCTCGATACAAATGGTTTATCCACCGCACTTCAATCCAAAGGACCCCCCCCCCCCCCCCCCCCCCCTCCCACCCCCGGGCCCAATCTAGCAGGCGTGATACGCCTGCGTGACTTGATGGATCATGTCGTCTGCTTTTTAGAACTAGCAGATTGTACTACAGCTAGTACTGAATAATCTAATTTGGGCACAAATACAGCCCGCGTGAGCGTCACACACGCCTGTTTCTTTTTAACTTTAGAGTGTCGCAAATTTGTTACTAAATTGTGTTTGTGACCAAGCGGTATTGCGAAAATTTGTTCGTGGTCGTCGACGTTCTAATTTTGTTTCTTCGGCCGACACAGATTCGGCGTTTATGGCACTTGTGGGACGATGGCCAAGACCGAAACTTGACAATGAAGTTGTGAAACAGGTAGTCTCTTTCACAACTTACGCCTCAAGTGTTGCCGCTATGAGCTCGTTGGTATTTCCTCCCTGGCCGAACCCGACATTTCAGTGATCACATGCAGACTCCTCAAAGCGCGTTTGATTCTGTGCATAGGGTTCTTCGTTTACCTGTGGCTCCAGTCTTGCAACGCGTCAGGTGATGCTTCCATCACCCAGAATACTCCAAAGCAGACATACCTTATAAAACAAAGACGACTAACATTACTGCTGGTTTCAATTAACAATTTTTGCAGTTGCATTCCTCTAACAATTCTACCGTTAAAACAGAAAAAAAAAAAAAAAAAAACTTTTTTTTGCGTCTGTGAGCGTTTAAACATAAAACTTCATTAAACGTTTCGTCATTCCCTGTTCGGCAACGAGGAAGGAAGTCTATTATACATAGTGTACTTCCGGGACTGTTGTCCGGACTGCGTGTATACTCGGAAGAAGCAAATTTCTGCTGAAAACCGATTTTCCCTTGCATTGCCCGCCCTAGGTGTATACTCAACAGAAGCACATTTTCGCAAACTGATTTTACCTTACATTTTCTGCAATAGGTGTATACTTCACGAATATTTTACTCCTGTTAAAAATATATGAGCGTCAGTTCTCGATCAACGATTTTTATGCTGGCTATTAAAACAATACAAATATTGCATCGTTTTAATGGAAACAATAATGAGCGTGAAAGCTCTTCCAAATTCCTGAGGCACCGGGACCTAGTTCCTAACGGACTACGCAGACTTTTTAGGCATTTATCTGCAACATTTTTACAACGTCATAAGCAGTTCATGTTTACGCTGTTAAGATCTACCTTGACTCACGTTGTCCACTAGGGGACAGCTATCTTGCGCGCCACTCATGTGGACATCGAGGGCGATAGTCACCCTCCAATAGTTTGAGCTTTTTTTTTTTTTTATTTCTATCGTTTGCTGCCCAATGCCCAGTGTAAAATAACGTTACCCCGGCAATCACACTGTGTTCGTCTGATGGTAATGAACGCTCTTAGAAACAAATCTTTGTACAGTTCGCACCTGTACCATAATCCACGTCGAACGAAGTATCTACTTCTAAATGTGTATGATACGAAAGAAGAAAAAAAAAGTATAGGAAACCAATAATAACCTAATTAGCCGTGGATCTTGAAGTATGTGCCTACAACCGGGCCAAGCTATATCTGGTCCATAGGCCACTGGCCGACACCTTCAGGTAGTCTAGACCAAAGCGTGCTTTCGGACATGTTTGTTCCAGCTCACGGTATACTTTCCCAACGGCCATTCAGTGCAGACTTGACAACGTTACGTCGTCGAGATCCGATCACCATGGCAACCAATCGACTTTACGTACCCTGGTAACTCGTGGTCGACTCTAGAAATAACGGCTGGTTCCCACATTTTCCTACAAGTTAGACCTAAAGTTCCCTGATACCGCTTTTACGAGTACCGACAACCAACACAAATGATAAAAAAAAACATTCCGCTGGAACATAATGGCGTCATTCAGTTCAGTCCTCCACTGTGCACCGCCATTCGCCTCCTAAAACCTGCATCGTCACGCAGTCGGCGCTTCAAAGAATGTCGCTACTTTGTAGGAAGCACTTATCTAGGAACTTTAGTTAACAGAGTGCGTTGTAACGGCTTTTAACTGCATACGGAACACTTCCAATCCGTGTATTAAAGCAAATTTTTAACAGGATCCCCCCTATTCCGAAAGCTTGACAGTCCGTGCATTTTCCGCTAAATTTAGCGGGGAAATTGGTGTCACGTGACCTAAACGATTCAGCTTCCCCGCTAACTTAAGCGAGAAAATTGACCATGCGTGACTCTTATACCGATTCAGTATTTCCACTAAGTTCGGCGGGGAAATTGATGTCGCGTGACCTATTCACCATTATAGTTTCCCGCTAAATTTAGCGGGAAATTTACGAGAAAATGCATAAAAACAAAAACTATTGGTTCTTTACATCCCGAAACGACTGCATATTTGCCTTCTAGAGAAACTTCGATTATCGCTTCTCAAATACTGCATTTTATGTATAATAGGACTTCGGAGATAACCCTTACAAAAATTATCAATGAGTTTAAATTGAGTTTCTAATACATTCTAGAGAAATACATTAGAAACTCGCTGATAATTTCTGGAAGGGAAAGGGTCGCTGTCAATTTATTTCTTCGTGTTTTTTTTTACCCATTTTTTTTTTGGCCATGGGCATGAAATAACTCCGGCAATGTTATAAGCAAATATATCTCATATATAGCGCGTAGATTTTATCTACTGCAAAACCTTCAGTCTAGTACCCTGTATGCGCATCGAAAGAGTTCCAGGGTCACCGCTCTACCGAAAAAAACAGCAATTTTTCGCTAACCGGATTATGGACAGGAAATTTAAGTGGACTTCTTGCTGGAAACCTGAAATCCACTTTGCAGACGATTTCTTGCTGGAAACCTGAAATCCAGTTTGCAGACGATTTCTTGCTGGAAACCTGAAATCCAGTTTGCAGAAGATTTCTTGTTGGCAACCTGAAATCCAGTTTGCAGACGATTTCTTGCTGGAAACCTGAAATCCAGTTTGCAGACGATTTCTCGCTGGAAATCTGAAATCCAGTTTGTAGTCCATCGTCTGCAAACTAAATTTGAAGTTTCCAGCGAGAAATCCAGTTCCATAATCCAGTTAGCGAAAAGTTATACTTTTTTTTTCGGTAGGAACCGTAGGGTGAAAGATGTCTTTTGTGCAACTGTGACAGGAGTCTGACCGCAGCTTTGAGGTTCGGCGTGTACTACGTACATTCCGGGAGGCGCGTGGCTTTGGAATGTGCTTTATTTGCGCAAGAGCGTTACACACCTATCGCAGAGCTCTGCGCTCCGCCGTATACCCTCCGATAGCACCGCGCACAACTGGTGCGAGACGGAGGTATGTCGCCCGTTTCTATCTAAACTCCGTTTCGTCATAAGCTCCAGCGAGGCGGAAGCTGCGAGCTCGACGAGTTCGACGTGCCTGCCGTTTCTTCGCGCTTGCGCGGTGTGCGGTCGTGTATCGCTACTGAGTGATGCACGTTCTCGACTCCAGGCCAGCGGTCCACTGGCGAAATGTCTCATCTACACGGCGGAGACACCCCGCTGCCCGAAGGTCCCTCTTGCCCTGCCCCCCACATGAAAATAAGCTGCAGCTTCCAGCTGGAAATGAAATTTTCCAGCCGCATTTTCGGTTAAATTATACAGCAGCAGCTAGAAATCCTGTTTACAGCTGGAAGTGGATGCTGCTCATGCTGGAAATCAGAAATTCCAGCTTGGAACTACATGATCCACCTGGAAGTTTCTCAGCTACAC